GGCAAGTGTCTGTCAGAACTCAGCAGTCCCCAGATGCTCTGGGCAGGCACACTCCAGCTTCCTGTTCTCACAAGACTGCTCTTCTCACCTGGTCCTCTGCTGCTTAACCTAGAAGGAACACCTCCCATGTCCACCTCTGTGCCTTGGTGCCTACTGTTTCCGCTCCACCCTATTATGTGCCTAACTGCAAGGCTAACTTGTGGGGTTGCTTCTTCTTCTGCTTAACCCAGAAGGGATACCTGCCATGGCATCTGTACCTTGGCACCTACTGTTTTTACTCCAGCCTGTTTTGTGCCTAACTCCAAGGCTGAGGTGTGAGGTTGCCTCTTCCATGAAGAGTCTCCGCCCCACTCATGTTTTCCCTGTCTTTAGTCAATGGCACTGTGTCACACTTGCCCAACATCTGTTTCTCCCTCTCCGTCTCCTTCCACATCCTGCCAGTCACCAGCCCTGTTGGTTTAACCCAAAGCTCATTTCTAATCCACCTCCTTTTATACAACTATTATTTCCTGCCTTCATTCTCTCACCCATATCATTCTCTAAGGCGCTCTTTCTATTACCCTTATTTGATTGTGTCACCCCATGGTAGACAGCTCTCCAGTGCCACGCCTTCTACAGCAAGGCATCCTGGAAGGATTACAAGTATGCCAAGATACGAGAGGGGAACAAAACCCAGAACTGTCTTTTGGAGGGCAAGTCCCTTCTAGTACAGGCATCCCACACTATGTCAATGTTCTAGGAACCCACCAGCATCAGTGTACCAGCTAACACTGTTATAAGAAGCTGCGTTTGACTTCAGTCTTTCATCACATTTTCCCATTTATGATGAGTAATTAAAGAGCGCACCTGCACACACCACACTGAGTGTTCAGCAGTTGTTGACCAAAAACAAAATAAGTCCCATGCCCCACCCTCCTATTCACCTGCTCTCACCCCAGAAGATTTTTTGTTTGTTTCTCTGGGAGAAAATAGTCCTCAAACTGCAACGTTTTGCCAAAGTGGAAGAGGTGAAATAAAACACAGCAGAAGCACTAAAAGTCATCAAAATGGACAAGTTCAAAAACTATTTTGAGCAGTGGGAAAAGGATCTTGATAGATGTGTTGCATCAAACAGTACTCTGAAGGTGACTGAAGTTTAAATATGTAAGAATAAATACATAATTTTCATGAATAAATTATTTGGAGGGCTCCCTTGTATACATTGCTCTGAGCAACTTCACCTGCTATCTTTATATGTATATAGGAATATTGTGATTTTTCTGTGTGTGTAGTGATGTGAAAATGGTTTCAAAGAATTATCCTATAGGATAACCCAAACTCTGTCACCTGCTGCTCATGGTAGTTTCTGACCTGGTCTCCCCTGGATTCATCTTGTACCATGGCCAGCCTTCCATACACCAACTACATGGAACAACTTGTGACTCCTGAAAGCCACACTTTTCCCCACCTACGTGCCTTTGTGCCTGTGCCTGGAACCCTCCTCTCCTCTTTCCTCTAAGAGTTTCAAATGTCCCTCCCAAGGAGGCTTCCACACTTCATAGAGTCAACTTATTTGTCCATTCATCTTCCAGAGTGCCTCCCAGTTACCTCTCTTACACCTGCTACCAGGCAGCTTTACTTATTTATTCCTCACAGAGCTCATAGCCTGTGTTTTCCACGAATACAGTGAGCTCCTGAGAACAGGAGCTATGTCTGTCTTTCAGGATCTACTGCACACGAGACTCAACATTCCTGGAACAATGTCTCTTGACTGAATGTGGTTGGTGACTTTCCTGAGGCAGTCATCATGAACTGCCCCACATCGTCCTTTTGTGTTTCCATGGATGTCTCCCCACCAGCTGTGGATCCTGCAGGGCAGGAACAATGACTTTCCTGGAACCCAGAACCCAGACAAGCTTGGCATGCGATGGTCTCAATATAATCATATTGTATTGTGTCTTCCCTTTCTTGGACCCAGTCGCTCCTCGTGTCATGATTCTGCAGTTACCAGCGTTCTCTCAATACACTGATTCTCACAATTCTGGATCCCTCTTCCACTTTCAGGGTACATGTCTGTAACTTCTGTACTGTTAAGGTGTCAGCATCGTGATTGATTCTCTGATAATCCTACCATGTGTGAAACACTTGATTCACAATATTGTCTACTGGTCACCATCTCCTCTTCTCCCTGTGTATCTTCCTATATTTAGACTCATTCTCTTGGTGTTATGAGTAGACAGAGCCACAAAGACTGAGGAGAGGTTCATGACAGGAAGTAAGATCCAGGGAGTCTAAATCTTGTGGAAGTATTTCTGAGAAAATCCCAGACACAGCTAGAGACTGCCACATATAGTATGGCAGAGATTGAGAGATACATGACAGATTTAGGGAAAACTCAGAGATGAGAGGTGCACATTCCTAGTGAAATGATTGCCGAGGTTTCCAGCAGGCTGCAGGGAACAGAGAAGACATGCACCTGAAATCAGGTTGCAGAGCCCCACTGCTCCCACGGGGCAGCTTTTGAGATCTGAGATAAGTGACTTCCCTGAACCTCAGGGAGCTCTTTAAGTGCAAAGCAGAGACAAGACCCACTTGTTCAGCACTTAACTAGAGGCCTGGCTTTGGCCACTGGCTCTGACTTCAGGTAATCTTCAACATCACCTGTTTCCTTCACCCTCACTCGCTTGGTCCTTGTCACTAAGGAGATGAATCTCTATCCTCCTTATGCTCTGATCATTCCCGCCACCTATTTTGTTGTGAGATGTGTGTCTACCTATGTCTGTGTGAAGGAGAGGAGATTGAGGAGGAAAAAAAAATGTTTATGGAGAACCTATGTGTGCTGGTGGGCCTGAAAAATAATTTCTATATGTTATCTCACTTAGTCCTCACACTGCACTCTGAGGGCAGGGCAGCCATCCCTTTTTTTTTTATAAAGGAAGAGAAGGGTTGAAGAATGTAACTGACTAGCAAAAGTCATAGTGCCAGGAAATGGAAACGTTGAGATTTGAAAGCAATTTTAATAAACATAATGATACTGTACAATACTCAACAAACCAAGTAGAAAGAAAAATTATAGTGGCTTTCATTTCTTTTTAAGTGTAGCCATATGTTCTTTAGAATAGACACACCCAAAACAGGAATAGGGGATGTTGAGCAAAGTAATAGAAAAAGATATACAAAGCAGGCATGAAGGTGAAGAATGCCCATAGAGCCATATTAATTTCAGCAAAATAGACATGAAAGTAGAAAAAAATTACAAGGATCATAGGGTGACTAATTTTTATAAATGAAACAATTCATTAGAATGATGCAAGAATGTGAAACCAGATATGTCATAGGAGCCCTGTGGAAGAGAATCACAATGAGAAATGTGACCGTGTACTTGGGAATGCTAACACATTCTTGATTATGATAGCAGAACAAATTTGAGGAAGTAACGATTATAAACTCCAATTGTGGCAAATATATATAAACTTACAGGTTCAGAAAGTACAAAGAGCTCCAAACAAGCATAATCACAAAGAAACCCATGCGCAGAAATACCACACACTACTGAAAACTAAAACTTTTAAATGTTGAAAAAAGCCTATGAAAAACTATGCATTACATGAATAATTTAATTATGGGTTTTTTAAAATCAGAAACCATGGAGGGTAGCAAGCAAAGAAACCATATTTTAAACCACTGGGGTCGGAGGGAAGAACTGTAGTACTGGACACAGTGGTACAGACCTGTAATCCTAGCACTTGGGGAACTTGAGGGGGCAGGATCGCTTGATCCCAGGAGTTCAAGAGTAGACTTGGCAACATAGTAAGTCCTGATATGTACAACAATATATACCTGTATATTTTTAAAGAATTAACTGGGCATTTTGGCACGTGCCTGTAGTCCAAGCTACTTGGGAGACTGAGACGGGAGGATCACTTGAGTCTAGGAGGTTGAAGCTTGGGTGAGTAGTGATTGTGCCATGGTATTTGAGACTGGGCAACAAATAAAAGAGTCGTGACTGTGGCATGGTATTCGAGACCCCAAACAAATAAAAGAGGTACACAGAGGAAGATCTGACTATAGGAGACAGAAAGATATGTGGCCACTGAAGCAAGATGCTGCCCTGCTAACTCTGAAGATTGGCAAAGAGCCAGGTGGCAAGGAATGAATGCAAGGCCTACAGCTCTCAGGGCTGGAAAAGATGAGGCAATGGGCTCTCCCCTAGAGCCTCAGTAGGGAGGGTGACTCTGCTCACACCATGGTTTTAGGTTATATGCAAATACCTAAATACCTATATCAGGAACTTGAGCATCCATGGATTTTGATATCCAAGTGAGGTCCTACATCATGAACATACATACAAAATTCCCTACAAAATTTTGGAGTCAAATCTGGATGCAGAAATAATTGAACAAGGCCAAAGTTAAGTACTTCTTTGAAAGATTTAAAAAATCCAAAACTCCTAAAAAGACAGAGTGAGAAAGAGGAAGAGAGTGAGAGATAGAGAACACGAGGCATGAAAGAAGTAGCATCATTATAGGCCTTGCAGACACTGGAAAATACAGGCATATTGTGAACTAGGTAACACTATGGAAGTAAATCAGACCACTGGGCAAATTCCTTGAAAACCACAATTGATCAAGTGTTGGTTGAAAATACTAATACACACCTACTGTGTGTCAGGACTTGAGGCAGGGACTAGGAAATGATCCAGGAGAGTGTCAGGTGGGACAAAGGGGATTTTAGAGCCTGGAGACAATGGGAAGCACAAAGGAACCCAGATGCTCCCACAGCTTCAAGCTCTGACGTGGGAGGCCTGGAACAGCCCAGACCCATTGCCCTGTGACTGGGGAAAACCGTGAAATGCAGTCTTGCTGACCTTCCTGTGTGTAGTGGCTGATAGGGTCAAGGTAGAGCTAGGTAGGTACCCAGTTACCTGCCCAAACCTGCTGGGGACCAGGCAGGATGCCTGGGGAGTATGAGGCAGCTTGGTGGAAGGGAACAGAGGAAATAGGTCTTGGAGAATGGGAGTTTCAGAGCCTGTTCTGGATCCCTCCACCCTCAGCATCCACCCAGTGCCCATGGCTTTCAGGACCCAAGATCCGAGCCCACCCAGCCCTGGGAGTCCAGCCCTGCACCCGGGGTGCTTCCGACACACTGGTCAAACACACATTTTTAAAGAAGTCTCTCTTCCGGTTTATCAGTTTCTGGAAGAAAGGGGGAAGCCCTCGACCCAGGGAGGGTGCCTCCAGCTCCACGGGGGGTGGGGTGGGGGGTGGAGGCGGGAACTTCAGAGTCCCAGGCCTTCCTGAGGACGCCATCAGCACCTTCTCTGCAGCTGGATCAGCTTTCTAGACGAGAGTGCGAAGAGAAAAATGGGAGACGAAGGGGAGTCCTTTGCCTTCATCCTGACCGCAGGAAGGAAGCGCCTTGGTTGGCTGCTGGTCAAGCCCGGCCTCCGGTGCCCGGAGGGACCCACGCCACCCTAGCAACCTCTGAGGCTGCCCAGCTGCCTTCCCCACCCGGGACACCAGGCCACCGACACTGCCCAGGTGGAGAGCAGGCGAGGTCGGCCTGGAGGAGGGCGCAGTGCTGGGGAGGCCAGGAGGCCAGGAGGCCGAGCAGCCGACGGCCCAGAAAGTGTCACCTGCCACTCGCAGCTCCACGGGGGCGCTGAGCTCCGACTCCAAAGGGATGGGCCACGAGGAGCGGTATCGGCAGCTGTAGTTGCCGGCGTGCTGGGGCCCCACGTAGACCAGCACCAGCTCCGCCGAGGACCCGAGGGACATGAGCTCGGCCAAGGGTTCCGTGTCCCCTGCCCGCAGCAGCTCGAAGTTGACGTCGGCGATGGGGCCCTCGCAGCGCAGAACAGCGTCTCTGCCCGGGGTCACCGCCCCGCTCCACAGGGGCCGGAGCTGCGGCCTGGGAGGGGGTCCTGGCGGAGGGGGCACCTTGAGGTGAAGCCCAGCCCCCGCCCCTCCGCGCCTGGCTCCACGGAAGCCTGCACACCTGGGCAGCTCCGCCGACCTTTCCTGAGCCCCCACACCCGATTACCACACCGTCTCCCTCCCCAGGACCTTGGGGTCCCCTGACTCCGGCCTGCTTTGAGGTGTCCTGGGGTCCCAGCGTCTCAGGACTCAGGACTCGAAGGGAAGGAGCCGCCAAGGAAAACAGGGCGCGGCCAGAGGTCTGGAGGCGGGACGTGCCCGCTGCCCTGCGTGGCCTCTGCACCCGGGGACCTTGGTGAGGAAACAGGAGGGACAAACAGATCCCAGGGCGGCGGGGGCTGGGGAGAGCCACGCATTAACCTTGGGAACTGAGCCTGGGGTGGGGCTCATAAGCCAATGGGCAACAAGTGACACGCGTGTAGCACAGGGAAACTGAGGCACAGGTGCAAAGCCTGCAGGAGTTTGAACAGAAAACTCCGGGCCCAACCTCCACGCTCTGAACCACCAAGCTAACGTAGTCTACGAGCTCCGTCCGCGGGAAATCCGCAAAATTCGAGGCGTCCCCAGGACCCTCGGCCTCCGACCCCCACCCATGACCCCGCAGAAGGAGGCTATGGGGCAGAACCAAGGCCCGGGCGCCGCCTTTGGCACTGAGGAATGCGACCCCCGCCCGCTCACCGTCCACGCGCAGCTCCCAAGGCGCGCTGGGCGCCGACCCCGCGAACGGCGGCAGCAGGTCCACGTAGACGCAGCTGTAGTTGGCCGAGTCGGCCACCGAGACGTCGCGCAGCTCGAAGTCGGCCTCGGTCCCCGCGGGGCTCTGCAGACGGTGCACCCGGCGCCCGCCCGCGTCCTCG